TTATTTAAAGAGCTCTTTTCATCCCGGTGACAGCTCAAAGCTTTAGACAGTTGATAAAGCTTAACAGTAATAGAAGACACTATGAGTATCAATTTAAAACTATATAAGCCAATGACACAAATCAATTTAAAAAGATACCAAAGAGACATTTAATTTTAAATAGACAGTATGGTTAAGAGATTCATTTTGAAATGTTTGTGTTCACTGAGCTTGACTGTCTAATAAAGGTTGGAATTCCACAGTTTAGAAGCACAGTAACTGAAAGAGGTCTCTCGAATCTCCTCCTGCTTTCTGTATTTTACTAAAGGTATTTGCAGAAAGCCGGAATCTGCAGATATAAGATCACATGCTGGAACATAAACCGACAGACGTTCTGTGAGGTAAGCAGGTGCTAGGCCATTCAGAGCCTTAAAAAACTATTAGCAAAACTTTAAAAATTATCGTATAAGATACAGGTAGCCAGTGCAGTTCTTGCAAAACGGGTGATATCAGCTCTCTTTTTTGTTTTTTGTTAGGATCCGTGCTGCCGCATTTTGTACGAGTTGTAGAGGACGTACTGTTTTCTTAGGAAGCCTGATAAAAAGAGCATTACAGTAATCAACACTGCCTGTAACAAATGCAAATTTTGTGACATCCACTGAGACATATCAGACACTCAGCTGATAAGCCTGTGAACAAAGTCTTGACTATAAAAAATAATGGAAATTAATAATTGCATGTCATCAGCTTAGCTATGGAAATACAATACTAAGTTTCCTAATGACATAGGAATATTTGTATTTGGTGATTTGATGAAGTTATTAATAAAGTTAATGACCCATGGTTCCTGAGTACTGGTACACTAAAAGAATGTCCTGCAAAACCTGACAGAAATTGCGTTAATTGGACAGTTTTGCTCCACTTTCTGTTCTTATACCAAAGGAACCCCATCCTACATCTTAGGTTTTCAAATACAGAGACTGAACTAGTTTCTGTACTTGGATGTTCTATGCTCTGGCAGTTAACAGAAATGTTAATGTTACTGATTTTCCATCTTGTGTCATTCCTACCAGTGATTACAAAATCCCGGAATGGAAACTGGATTCAAGGTCCGGATTTGAAGACCTCTGCCCTACACAGTGTATTTCTAAGGACGTGGCAACAGGGTAACCACTTAACTGAGGTAAACGGTTAACTAGGTTTAAGGTTTACCTTTGTGACAATCCCTTACACTGCATTGGACAAGCAGACTGATAGCATGTGAGTAGAACTTTAATCTTTGTCAAATATAAGAACATAAAAGTGCAGTTCTGTAGAAGTTATGGTTGTATGTCGTCACCATTAATTTGGCCACAAAACTGTGAAATAGTAATCTACTAAGAAAGAATGGAACTGTGAATGTGTTTGAAGGTTTGAAGGTGCTCAGCTTAGTGTGATGCCTTCTTCTCTGAAGCCATTTCACCTGAAGCTGTTTCAAAATGGTTTGAGGATGTCAAAAAATGTATAATGTAACAGAGGCAGGTTTTGCACAAGCACGATTTCTTCCTGCAGCATTGAATGCGTGTTTAAACAGCGCAGCCACATTTCTAGAACAAGCTTATCTATGCTAGGTATAATTTGTTGCATTAATGTAGGCATTCACCCAACATGTTTAAAAGTCTTCATAATCTTCAGATAAGAACTAGTGTGTGCCAGTGACGACTACCAGTATAACACCCCCAAGATGTTTTATGCTACGGAGACCAGATACAGCAGGTGATCACAGTCCAAACTATAAAAAAAAAAAAAGTCTTTTAGGAGGGGTCAAATGAGTCAGAGTCAAGTGTCTCAGTATCGTTGACTCCTCTACTTTCTCTGACATGCAGGAAAATACAATTCGACTAGGAAACCAGCCAGATCTTGGGATTATAATTGAACACTGTAACAATCAAGACCAAAACAAATAATTATTATTATGAACACCATCAATTTAGAAACAAAACATTTATGAGATAAACAAGATACTGAGTAGTTTAGATGTCAGTGCAAACCTGCCTTATAAGACAGCAGACGTTTGCATATGTTGCCACAAACTTGGCCACTTCCTGTAAAGATGCAGTTGCCACTACTGTTACAAACTTTAACAGGGACATACAGTGTCACAGATAACTTTAGCTTGCGGATGAAAGCAGCACAAACATGTTAGAACAATTAAATCATTGCTCCATGTCCTCTCAGCATATACTGGATAAGGAAAGAGGCAGAGAATCAAATTTCTCCAGTCTGTGTAAAGTCAGATAAGATAAAATCGGTGCAAAACATTTTATTACGTAGATACGTTTAGTTAAATGATAAAATTGATTCGCTGGTATTCAGGAATGATGATGCTATTAATACTGCTGACCTAGCCAGAAAACAAAACCAGGGGAGGAATTAGTGTAAACTGGAACCACAGTTACAAAATCGTGTGCTAATGGAAACCTCAGAAAATTTATTTTCAATGTCGACGACGTGCTTAACTTTTTTTAAACAAAAGTAGCTCCAAGGATTTGACATAGAGGCATCTCTCTGATCCTGCTGAATGTCATCTGCATGAGTAAATGATCTATGAAGTTTTATATGAAACAAAAATAATTAATGTTGTAACTCTCACTTCTCAGAACATAGTTGGTCTAATTTAAATCACTGTTATGATACTTAGAGTTAAAACACTGTGGCTGCTTCCGTGTTACAATTTAATATATTCTGTTCCACGGATTCAGTCTGGCACTGACTGAATAGTGAATGTTTGTGAATATGGGTAATGAGCATGTTGCCAATTAACCTCTCGTTGTACACAGTCAGAAGAAGAGCAAAAACATCACTGACAAGAATACCATTTTAAAGCAGATAACCACTGTGTCCTACTCAGTTATGTCTTCTAGTTCTCCTTCCAATTCTACCATAACGGATACAAGAGCATATTCAATGTCTATCCTTAATCCAACCAACCAAAAGCTGACCAGACTAGCTTTAAAAAAACAAAAATGGTAAAAGAAACAGCTCTTTATTAGGCACACACCATACTGAATCCCTAGAGGAAAAGAAAAGGAAAAATCAGGCGGGTGTCCATTAGTTTTAATACAATGTGTGTTAAGTGACTTAATTAGTTGCTTAGAAAAATGAATATAAAATAAAACATGTAGTACAAAACATCTCTTTAGCTACATAACATGTAAGAGAATGATTACATATGCACACACACACATAGATCACCCAAATATCTGACTCACACAAGAATACGCACTTGCCCAATTCCCAATACAATCCCAATGACTCAACCCTCAGAAAACTGTGTGCTTTATCTCCAGAAATAGAAAAAACTAATTTCATTATAACAATAAAAAACTTCTTTTTGAAGGAAACTAAAAGCAAGTGAATACTTCTAGCACTCTACAACACACGTACTTTATCAACACAAGAACATAACAAGATCTTATCAACTGATGATAAATGTTATGGCACATCATAAAAGCTAAATTGTGTCAGAGAAGGTTCACTACCAACTACCAAATTCAAATTATTACTCATTAAATCAGCCCTTTACAGCTAACACAACGGTGGAGCTGGTAGCACTGAAAAAACACTTCAAGTCTATAAAAATTTAACTCTTCATTGATAGTAACTGCAGACGAAACAATATGGGGATTCTGGGTTGATGTTGATATCTTATATTTTTCACATACATAGCTGTCCATGCTGATACATAACTATTTAGAAAATCCAAGTATTAGGGCTAGATCCACCTGGATTAGCATTATAGAGAAACATTACATTTAAACGTAGGGGGTTACAAATGCTGTACGCTGAAAGTAGACATTTTGGCAGAGCAGCCTCAGTAGCATCTAAACATTCTGATATTCTGAAGCACAATAAATACATCATTAAATATTGGTCTGAAATATCGATCACACCTAAACATCTGCCCGCTGATTTTGAATTGTTTGTCGATACTGGTATGACCCTAATATCATCGTGCATCCCTAACAGTAACAATGCCCGGACATGCCCTGTACTCTTGTCACAGCTCATGTTTTCGCAGATAAAAGACAACGAAATGAAGCGCTCTTGGGTGTTACTAACTACATAACTAGGGCGTCTCACAGAATTGCAAGTCGAGAAAGGAGACATGATGTTTGACCACAAGTGTAGGTTAACGTTAGCTTCTTCTAACTGGGCGCCGACTGACTGCTTGGCAATTTAAACAAGTGCCAGGCGACGATACTTAACTGTAGCATTTAAAAGCCAGCTATAAGGACTGCTGCCTGGAGTCACCCCACTGCTAACACCAAATGCTGAAAACAGTTAAATCGTGGTAAACTGATTAGAGCGAAGCAGACAGGCCTAACATGGTTAGGAAACAAGGCTGGTGAGCCAGAGGAGACCACACTTAAACCGGCTGCTGCGATGCCAGCGTCTCTTAAATGGACAGCTTAGCTCTCTTAACCTCGAAAAACGCGACAGTTAGAAGACAAAATACAACACAGCTAACACCCGAGTTAAACATTTAGAAATGACTGCTAGATAAGCCATCGTGTAATTTCACAAGCGAGCGGCTCTGGCTTTTTTGCTAGCTAACGGTGGAACGCATGGTTAGTGTTTTGTTGCTCGGCAGGTTAGCCAGTTAGCTTTGACATTCTTTAACTAAACGAGACAGACAGCAACTCTTTTCGCTACTCATGTCCTCCTGTGAAGTTTAACATAAAAGACAAAATTGTCATTTCACATATAACAAGCGACGGTGGGCATTCCGTAAAAATGTTTAGCCAGATAGCTAGATTATATCTGTTCCTTTTGAAACGTGTCGTGCTCGCAAATGGCTGCCACATTTCAGCGTTAGCTTGCTAAGCTATGCTAACTTGGCTGCCCAACACTTTGGCTGGCCGGCTAGCAGGAACTGTGCGCTAGCCACAAAGACTCCTACGGCACTGCCGTTAACAGGAATAAACCTGATTAACAGCTTTTTGGTCATAGTTTGGAAGTCGCGAAGTGCCGCTACTTACAAAGAACAGGCTGAACATTGAAATCCCGTGACAAACCCCGGAGAAAGTGGATCGGAGTAGTAACCGCTGTGAGTGCTCTCCTCTCCTTCCTCTTCACACTTAGTGAAAAAGAGAGTTTCTCGTAGCGACCTCCGGACTCGTGAATGAATCTTTGTTCGGAATCGGATCTTTTCAATAACACTTCCCAAATGAATCGGACGTTTTTGTAGCCAGAGCCTATAAATTCTCAGCTGAATAATAAAATTCAAGCAATTTAAAGCTCTAACCCTTTAAAATTATAAACGCCCATACTACATGACTACACGTTAAGAGCAACCTATTTGATTTATACGTCTATATGCTGCTCTTGCTTCATGTTCCTCGTATGTGCTTTGTGCATCTCAGTACTGTGCTTGGAAAGACAAGTCTGCCTCCATTAGTGAGTAGAATAAGCGGACACCAGACGCTCTGTCTATATGGATGGCCTGATGAGCTGAGAATGAAGTTGGCTTAACTTGTGATTCATTGAATCAGATGTTCGATTCGTTGAAACAGAACGTTGAAAAGAATCGGTTGAGTAAACCGAATCGAAAATGAACCGACACCGGTTTCTTGGCTGAAAAGTGAAAGGGAGGGGCTACCCGGAGGCGATGTGACGTCATATTTACGCAAAACGCCCGTTGACAGTCTGGTGATGTCTCACTGTGTTACAGTGACCACAAATGAGAGTTATTATTATCTTAAAAATTAACTTGACGGAAGTTGTTGTCCAGAACCTTGCGTTCTGTTCAGCTGTGTGATCACCTGATAACGTTTTACGCAATAACTGGCTGGATAAACACACGTTACGAATATGAGAGGAAACAAAAGTAGTCAATGGGATCTCCATTCAGGCCTGCATGAGTCATTTAAGTGACTGGAAACCGTGAACCACACAATTACAAGACAGAATGTTGAATGAAGGAAATTGTTCAGATCTCTCATGGCACCATTCACTGAATTAACTCACACCCATGGTCAGGACTGCAGTCCTATGAAAGAATGGGAAAGATTCTATTTCTTTCGGAAAGTGACTTTTGATTTCACCTTACTTGTGCCCATATGGCCTGTTGATGAAACTGTTTGTGACTAATAGCAAGTTCTGATGTGAAGTAACTCAGTAACTGAAGTAACTCAGAGATGAAATTTCTGTTATCGATATTTACCCCTCAGCTACTTTGCCATATGTTATTGTCATTATGATGCTTCAAAAATTCTTTTCTGAGCATATTGTGGACATCATCAATACTTAAAATGCACTGACCAACTGCTTGTTTCATTATAACGAGAGCTTAATCAGCTGTGTTTATGTGGATTAAGTGCAGCACAGTATTTAGAATGTTGATTAAAAATCATTGTACTCATAGTTGTTGATCAATTTTTTTTTTAAATGTGGCTGGACTGGTGCATTTAGTCTGTTCCAACTTATCAAACCCCAGAAAAACTAAATATCGTGATACATTTAGTGTAATATTTTCGAGTATTGTGACATTACAGTTATATGCAAAAGTTTGGGTTTCCCTGATTAATTTACACGCCTTGTTGATTTTCTAAATAAAAATAAGGACACATCGTCTACAGATAACACAGTTCTGCATGATTTAATGCACAATTACTGTTTATTCACTGAACTTAACATATTGGGAAAAACATAAAATGTGACATGTAAAAGTTATGGCACATTTTATATTTCATGTATTATTTTTTCCAATATGTTGGAAAATGTGCAGAAAATGCCATATTCAAGTAGTGTTAATTTATTTTCACTTAGAAAATCAACAAATTATGTAATTAGACTGGGGGTGTTCAAACTGTATATTTTTGCCGTTTTGCCCACCCCTAATGGCAGGCAATCTAAAGGTAAAGATAGTCTGAGGAAAGGCAGGCATTTGGGTAAATGTTTACTGTGAATGTAGGTACTGAGTGGTCAAAGTGATAAGATGAAAGCTTTGGTAGTTAAATAATACCAATTATGTGCAGAGAAAAGTTTGTGATTTTAGACCTTGTGAAATACATTTTACCAAAAATGTGTTCGTACTCCCCCCTAGTGTTATATTTCAAACTAATAACTCAGCAAGATTCAGACAAATCAAATTATGATAACTGCAATTTTAACTTTGGACAGTTCAAATTGCCATAAAACAATGAGAACAACAACAAAAGACTTTACCTTTTTTTTTTTTTTTACAAGAAAATCTTTATTGATGTTGTATCAATACTATCAAGTACTGCAGATTTCGTATAAGCTGACAAAACATTTTCAGTCAAAAGAGTGCATTTAATACCCAAGGCCTATTGCACAGCGTGAATGCAACAGCCATGTATACAACAACAAAATCCTATAATCTGATACATAGTACATTAAAAAAATAGAAGAAATAAAGGTTGACAAAATATTCCTTTAACAATGGTAGTATGCTAACTACAATACTTGTCAATGCTGTTAAATATTTATTTGTACATGTTATTTCAAAGGGTGCTTCGGTAGGCAGACATTCTTGCTGATTTATCACATATGTATAAATACACCTTCATTAAGTTCATGTGCAAATGGGATTAGTTGTTTGAAATCATCTCGTCCAAAACAAACAAAAATCCCTTACAAACCGAAGCTAGAATCTTCTTTATTTTAAAATGAAAGGAAAACAAAGTCTAGCAGTTCTGAGAGGAAACAGTACAATGAATCTACCTGACAATTTTCTATCCATTTCACTCACTTTAAGGAAGGCGCTGTATTTTTAAAAACCAAAGGCCTCCATGAAAATAAATGGAAAGGATTACATGTTAATATAAATGAAATGATCAGTTTATCACAAATGTAATAACACATTTGAAGTAATTATTTCAATGACAGGGAAAGGCCTCTGAGAATGCTGGCTGACTATACTGGCACAGTGAAAAGCAGGTCATTAGTGGATAAATGATGATGATGATGACTAATGCATGTCATTTCAAGTCTTTTTTGATATTTCAGGGTTCAGACTTTGCCAGTATGTTTCTAATGACAGTAATATGTTAGTAACCAGTTAATCTGTTTAAAAGCCATGCAAGCTGTTCACACTTTATCAACATTCTTTGTTTTATTCTTTATACAATCCTACAGTTCACAAGATGAATATATGTTTAGGCCACCAAGCTATTACATTTACTTGATGCTCCCCCTCACAAAAAACCTCTTTGTTACAAGTTTCTAAGAGAATGGGGGCAATATAGGACTTCTAGGATACAGGTGAAACAATAGCAACCTATTCACTTGTCTACACTACTAAAATTTTGCCATAGCCAAACCTAACGATCGACTTATAAGCTATATTTAATGGCAACTGTGTAAAAGGCACACTCTGACATTCACAAAAAGGTTTCGACAGCGGGCCATTCTTACAGCCCATCATAACATGTATGCTTTTTTGAGAGGTTTATTAATATTACAACCCAGTGTGAAGAATTATTGTTTATCTGAATCTGTAAATGCCTGTACTTATTTCTTTCTATTATGACAGTTTTCAGTGAACCAGTTAATGTGTTATTTTGCTAATAAGCATTCTATTCCCAAGTCTGTCATGTCTGTTTATACATATAATATCATAGTCTGGTCCAGACAGCCAGAGATCAGAAATGACAATCTCAGTGTCTAATCACAGATGGCATAAATGACTGTTTTTAAAAGACACAACAGGTAAGAGCTCTCAGTAACTGCCATTTTAAGCCACTATATCTGATTTATGAACAGTGGCAAATAGGGATCAGGCGAAATTAGACAATTTTTGACAGGAAGGTCCAGTGCATTTGTCAAATCTGTTCATAATCATGAACTAATCATTTAATTTTTTCTTTTTTGAAGTCATTTTTGTGCAAGCAATTTACTTATTCAAAGTAATGAACATCTGAATAGTAATTTGGGATGTCGTGCACAATCCCAAGTAATTAATGGACCAAATGTTCCACAAAGCAAATGGCACAGTTCACAGATGACTCACCGCCATGTCTTCAAGCAACGTTTGTTAAAGTTCTGAAAGTAAATCTAATTTGAATGACTCCTGGATAAAGTTATACAGGATAGACAAAATTATTCAGCTAGGGATGCTTGCCATTTAATATTATTAAACTTTATAAAGTACAGAATTCATCACTCAGATAATTGCTGATGTCATATAATGGCCATGGAACGTATTGCATAACAACACAATGTCAAAGGCACTACAAACGGAAGGAAAGGCTGGTTTGCATATGTTGGAGTTTTACAAATAACCATTGTGCCTCTACACTCTTAATCCACTAGCAGTCCATTAATTACTAAAATGTTCTCATAAAATATATGCTAGTAATATGGGGAAATAATACTTGTGTAGTCTTTAGTATTGTTACATATTGAAACTTATTTTGCATTCAAAATAATATCCAAAAGCTTTCCACTTCAAGGATAAGGACAAACCTCTTCACATAGATATCACCAAATCAGGCATATTAGCAACAAATTGTAAGTAAACAAAAACACATTTCATGACTTTGGGTTTAGATTTATGACTTCACTCCCTACAGTAAACTTAAAATCATCAGGGTAGTAAAGAATATCTGTCAACATAAAATGTGGCACTGAATGAAAAGCCTATGTGAAAAAGAAATGAGAGGAAAAGTTTGAACTGAATGTGACTGCAGCCAGGGGAACACAACCCCAGAGTCAAAAAGATGGAGTTCGATGGGAGTCAGAACATTTGGCAAAGTGTGCAGTCACATGGGTAAAACTGTTACTTACACATTGTCTGATTCCAATAAACAACAACATCAATTAAAATAACAACAACAGCAACAATAATAATACAACACTTATAATAACGTTATAATATAGGCTGGAGATACGAAAAACAAAGGAAAACATTAATAAAATCAGACATTTCAAAAGGCTAAAACAGCATAAAGTTTTCATCTCCTGCTTTTATCTAGGCTTGTCTGTTGTTCAGTCTTTCCTGTTATTGCTGTTACAGGTGTTACTTGAGTGACTGCAGAGCACTGGAATAATAACTCATGGATAATATAGACTGTTATGTAGGGCACAGTAGGAACCCTGAGAAGGATGAATGGATGTACTCAGTGGAGTAGAGCCCATTTGCTTGGTCAGATGGCATCTGCACCCAAACCTGGTCGTTCTCCTTCAGCTCCAGCACTGCACTACCTGATGCCTGGTCCATATAACCCTTCTTGTATTCATCGTAGGTGTAAGTGGCAGGCACATTGTTTTTGTACAGTGCCACCCATAGGCTGGTTCCCTTTACATGAACATGATAAGCAAAGTAGTAGATTCCAGGCAAAGGGCTGGTGAAGATGCCAGTAGCAGGATTGTAAGCATTCTGCCCATTGTACAGAGTCCTGTCAAATTTGATGGGCATACCAGATGGTGGGAAAGGTGTGGTGAGGATGGCAGTGAAAGCTGGAGCCATTGTGGCAGAAATCGCACCAACACCAAACTGTGGTTTTTCAACACCGGGACCTGTTATTGATTCCCCAGCTATATCAGGCCCTTGAAGCCCTGCCACTGTAGTATCTCCGTTAGAAGGCCCAGGTGGGCCAGGTGGGCCAGGAGGACCTGGAGGGCCTTGGATACCATTTAATCCAGCAGGGCCTGGTTTTCCTGGTGGTCCTTGTGGTCCTGGTAATCCCTGGTCCCCATTCTTTCCATTCCCTGGGAGTCCTGGCGGACCTTGCTCCCCTTTCAACCCTGGAATGCCCTGCGGTCCCATATGGCCTGTGGGTCCGGGTAGACCAGGAATACCAGATAAGCCACGTGGTCCTGGGGGCCCTGGAAAACCATTTTCTCCTTTTGGTCCTGGTACCCCAGACAGACCTGGATTACCTGGCAAACCAATGTGACCTCCTTCACCTTTAGGACCTGGTTTTCCAATGGCTCCATTTGGCCCAGGAAGCCCTTTATCCCCTGGGAGGCCAGGCTTACCTGCCAAACCACTGGGACCTTGATCTCCTCTGAGCCCTGGCAAGCCTGGAGGTCCTTGAGGACCTATATCTCCCTTCAGACCAGGCATGCCATGTTTTCCTGGAAGACCCATTGGACCTTGTTGACCTGGAGGCCCTGGCTGGCCATTTGGCCCCATATCACCTGGAAGACCATCCAGCCCATGTTCTCCTTTATCACCTGGAGCTCCCGGTAACCCAGAGAGACCTCTATCTCCTTTCTGTCCTATAAGGCCAGGTTTACCATAGCCAGGAGCTCCAGGAAATCCAGGGGGACCCCTGACGCCTGGTTCACCTTTTGGTCCGAGTGGACCTGGTCTTCCAGGTACACCATCAACCCCAGGCTTTCCCAGTCCAGTTGGCCCTGGTGGCCCTTGCTGTCCTGGAGGACCAGCATCCCCAGGAAGACCTTGATGTCCTGGAAGTCCTTGGTCTCCTTTTGGCCCCGAAGGCCCTGGTAACCCATTAAGTCCAGGTTTGCCCACACCTGGATTTCCAGGAGGTCCAGAAGCTCCTTGAAGGCCAGCTGGGCCCCTGATGCCTGGTGGACCTGGCTTACCATTGCCATTTTCGCCCTTGAGCCCCTTCTCGCCAGGCAAACCACGACCACCTTTTGGCCCTGGTTCACCTCTAGATCCTGGTGGACCTCGAACTCCAGGAAGCCCTGGTTTGCCATTCAGTGAGAGACCTGCAGGTCCAGGTGACCCTGGTTGTCCTGGTAATCCCCGGGCTCCAGGCTCACCTTGAGGTCCCACCTCACCATTGTTTCCTGGTAGCCCTTTGGGCCCAACTTTTCCTGGCAGACCTGGTAGTCCTGGCTTTCCAATTCCTGGCAAACCAGGTGGTCCCTGGGGTCCTGGCTGACCATTAAGACCTGGTTTCCCGATACCTGGTTTCCCTGGTAAACCTGAGGGACCAGGTGGGCCCCTAGGTCCGGGCTTCCCTTGAGGGCCTGGCTCCCCTTTCACCTTCGTCGAAGGCTGATAGTCTGAAAAAGAAAACGGAAGTCATGGTACATGAGCAACACAAGACATATTCTTTCACAAATTGTCACTGTTGGTACAAAACGATCTCCAAAATTATAACCTTTCAGGAGAAGAAAAAAACACTCTTAAATTTGAGTGGAAGTTAATATAAACATATTTTATCCCAAGTAATTTTTAGGCAGTTCTATTGGTCCATTTATTATGACAATCTCACCCAATGTAAAGGACAGCTGGTGTTTTCAAATTCTACCAAAAAAGAGAAACAACAAAAATGAAAATATAAGGTTTTGTTCTGACAGCTCTAAAATACTGCTATGTCTTATTAATGTTTTGTTGAGTGGTTTATATGTTAAAGGACTGGTTTTGCTTCACAGAAAAATTATATTAAACTATAAAGAAATATATCTTATATGATAACACATACAACACTTTACAAGAAAACACATTCACTGAATAGCTGCATCTACAATTGTATTCCGGTTTCCTCGCACAGTCCAAAGACATGTGGTCAGGCCAATTGGATATGCTAAACTGCCCCTAAACTGGTGTGAGTGTGTGAATGTATATGTCTGTATGTCTGCACTGTGATGGACTGGCGACCTGTCCAGGGTGTATCCTGCCTTCCGCCCAATGACTACTGGGATAGGCTCCAGCTCCCCTCACAACCCAGAGGCATACCAGAGGCATAAGTGGCTTAAAATATGTGTGTGTGTGTGTGTGTAATCAGAATAGCCACCAGGGATGCAAGAAGTACACTCATAAAAAAGATAGCTCTTCAAGGGTCCTTTAGCAAAGGAAATGGTTCTATTTAGAACCATGACTTCTATATAGAACCATTTCATGTAATTTCCTTGCATGATGAAATGGTTCTTCAGACTCATGGAGAATGTGCTGTATATGGTTGTATATAGCACCAAAAAGATTCTCCTATTGTTCTGATGTCAAGCATAGCAGAACCCTTTTTGGTGCTAAGTAGAACCCTTTTCAAAAAGGTTCTATATAGAACCACATATGACACATTCTCAATCAATCTCAAGAACCATTTCACCAGGCAGAGAACCATTTAAGCATGAAAAGATTTGATATAGAACTTATGTTTCTTAATAGAACCATTCTCTTTTCTAAAGAACCCTTGAAGAACCACCTTTTTTAAGAGTGTACAAAAACAAATAACTTATAAATAACTTAATACTACTGTGATATAAGTTAAAATCCATGAACCTGCCTCTCTACCATGCTAAGCATCACCAGCTTACTGACTACCGGCTCTGCCTTTACATCATGCCTACTCAACCTGATTTAGTTGTACTTCTGCGTTTGTGTTTAAGAGCTCGTTTATATACAGATGTATATTTAAAGGTGAATTCACATGTATTTCCAGTCCAAAAGTCCCAACAATTCATGAGATGTGAGACAAACAGTTAAAATGACTATTATTTTCGTTGGATCAAGGGTAAAAGTGTTAACATGTAAACTTCAAATACTTAAAAATGGTACTATGGCACTTAATGGACATGCTTAAGAGGAAAACCCCATGAAAACTTCAAATGTATGCAGAGAAGCTAATAAAGTCTCATGGGATAAAGAATAAGACACAAACAAAAGACAAAGAGAAGACGAATGTTCCCCAGCAACGCTCGACCTCTGTGGAATGCCAGCAGGGATGGTCATGACATTTACTAAGAATGTCTGAAGGTGATCAAGGGTCTCCAAACTAAGCCAGTCAGAAACAAATAACTTCAGCTTATAATCAACTAATTTCACTACACAATTTTATATTCAGCCCTTGCAACGAAAAACACTATATGAGACATTCTTGTAAAAATTATTTGATGCCCTGTATTTAAAATGTAGTGGTCACTAAATTGTAAATAAAGAACAGTTTGGCTTTTTAATGTAAAACATTGTACAAAATAAAATAGACAACAAAATAACTGATAATAAAAAAAAAGTGGAATGGTTAATATATGTTTTTTCACTGGAGAGGCTCATTATCCAAACGTGGCATGGTCTTCAGATAAAATTTCATGAGTGGTATAATATTGTAGGATGTGCACAGTACTGGCAGCTGCTCACAGAAGTTATTTGACATGTTTAGGGTTATTTTATTGATTTTATTTTGAAGGATACCGGTTTAATACCCACACAAACAAACAAACAAACAAACAAACAAAACAAAACTAGTACTGTGACTCTACTGTGCATTTCTGATGCCCCCTTGTGGGTACAACAGTCCATTGCAGCAAATCTGGAACGTCAACAAAATACTACTGTTTTAAGTTTGTGAAGCATATTGAGTGATACGAACTTGGTGGCATCTTACAATAACCCTATATAGAAGTTTCTTGTTCATTACACTTTCTGTCTGAAGTACAGTGACTATTTTTTAGGAGGCAGCCCTGATATTAAAATCAGTGTCACCAACTGAATCTATCCACAAAAATGTTCTCAGATTACCTTTCAGTTCCGAAGATTTTATTTTAACACTACCAACACATTTTGTTAAAATAGTGGATGTCTTCCAAAATGCCATATTTAAGTGTGTTCTCTGTAGACGATGTGTTCTCCTAAGCATGACATTTGACTGGGGTTGCACAAACTTTATCAAAGCTCCAGAGCCTGATATTTTGACACAGTTTCAAATATTCTCAGTTTTTACAAATGTGATAAACCCAATTCAATTTTCACCAATGAATTACATTGCATTAGTCAATCATGTTCTAGTGTTGGACATCTCCATCCAGTTCCATCCACTAAATATCTGTGAAATTAAATAAAGTGTAGTTTCACATACACATTTTATCAGTCAGTTCACAAATGTGTTTATCCTCTTAGACTTAACAGCTCACTAAAAAAGAGCCGAGTCCTACTTGCAGTTCTTTTTAACATCCACTTGGTGGTAGTAGCTGCACTAGTCTACAGTTGTTTGCAGTCCAGCCATAAAGACAAGCTCAGGTCACAGAATGTTCTGCATTACTGAAGTAGCAATACATGATTAGTCATCTTTGCATTTCTGAGTACAGTGAACGGTAATAATTAGTAACAGAAGGTACTGGAGAAGATTCCTAATGTAAAGAATTGTGACTGATTTGCACAGTCAAAAGCCAGTGTCAGCACTTAATAATCCATGTCTGAAGTTGACTGACATATTTTACTGCTTGTCATGTCTGCATGTCATGAATGCACACATTCAGCTGAAACCCATGTTACAGTTTGGCTGTATCTATAAATCACACAATGCATGAACGATGAAACTGCACTCTGGGGGAAAAAAGCAGCTAAGAATGAAAGGTTACTTCCACTGTGAAAAAATCAGACACACACACACACACATTCACCAACTACAACACAGGTAACAGCTACCAGATGCTTAGACGAGCACGTCTTGTGTAGCGTTCCAAAACTAGGCCAATCAAGGCTTTATCAGTAGTTGCCAAAAACTGGATGGCCATCAGCACAAACAGCTACAGGCAACATTACACTCACCATAATCAAAGAGTCAAACTCGTAAGAGAACTTGTATGGGAAAATGTGTCTTTACTTTGAGCTTCAATGTTTTTGTGATTGTCTTGGTTCAGGATTTTCGTCTCACGATCTGATCCAGGTTCTCTGATACTAAATATTAGATGATACCAGTCCAATTTGATTTTTGGGGGGATTTTTACTCAATATTTTCCCCTTTTACACAATGCAACCAAGCTGGGAAGATGAAGGCCAGCACATGCTTTCTCCAAGACACGTGAAGTGCCAGGACATCGAACTGCCACTAACACATCATTAGACAGCTCAACATGCTTGGAGGAGAACTGCCAGTTCTATTAAGCTAACAGATGCCTGCACTGGCCAGCAGCACATAGAGGAAGGGCCACCATACTCAACCAAAGAAAGTGAGACTAGTTATGCTCATTTTATTCCTGAGGCATCTCCAGGGATCCAGATCGAAATGGGGATTGACCTCACAATGACAGTTGCTGACCTATAGGCATGAACAAACAGAGTCAAACTCAGCAGCAAATCCCATCAAAATCTCCATTTCAGACTAGGGCCGAGACGTTTCCCAAACAATAAAACTTGTGTGTTTTTGTTTAGTGAGACGACAGTTTATTACTTTATTTATTACTGCTACCTTGCAAAACTAATATTTGATATTTTCCAGAGATGTTATCAAGCAAAGCTATCTGAACAGGACCAGGGATGAGTTATACAAGTCCATTTATTGCCACTTATAAAGTCCTAAAAACTCAAAACTGGAAACCACGTTAACGTTTCAAAAACATATCTGAAATCGCTGGCAAAAATGGGATAAATAGCTTTAAGCTTTTGGCTAAAATAACTAACATAATTTTTTTTTTAGTTGTTCTGGCTGCTGTTCATGCACATATCTTCACCAAGGGGGTGGGGGTTCCTGTGCGCGGCTTTACCAGCAAAGTGATTGGGTCATTTAATTAAAGGGCTTGACTTTCCCCATTAACAAATGCTAAATTAGGCGTTACAAGCTGTCTTTTCAACTTTCAACCAATGAACTGTCTCCTCCTCCTTTATAATGTACTTTGGTTGAATACACTGACACTGTTTAAGAACAGGTTTTGGACACATTATTATATTATAGCCATGATATATGGTGGTACTGAAAGTTTTAGTCAGTCAGTGGCCCAGTTGTCTTTTGTAAGTCATTAAAGTTTGTTATCTGTCAGATAATCAGCACATTTTATTACTATTATTATTATTATTATTAGTATTAGTAGTAGTAGTAGTATAGAGACAATACATTTTGCTCCATCACTTTTGGAGATGGTGCCACCCCTAGTAAAACCAACCCAATTTAGGTAAGATATGCTAGGCTAATTACTGTAAAATGCTACAGTAAAATTAACATGTTTGCACAGTTGACTTGACATAAGAGCCAAGAGAACCGACCATGATTTCAGTCACTTTAAAATTCTGCAGAAAATTCACTTTATTTTTATACTTTATGTCTATGTAATGGCGTACATTCAGAATTGATATAATTTGGTTTCTGTGGACTACTGATGTAAAATAACCGTTTTATAGTGTGGTGAAAACACTATAAAGTTGTTCTAACACATGCAGAGCAGCCTGCTCTTTTCTCTTTGTTTTTAACACATTGTTATTGCTAGTGATAAAAGTGTTAAATGGGAGAGGTGGTGGGGCATGACCAGTAAAGCAGAACGCTTTTGGAAATGCTTTTAGTTTTTGTACCATTCAGTGAAAAAGTTGTGAGAGTGTTTTGTACATGTTTCTGCTGGCAAAAAAGAGTGGAAGCGTAATAGCTATGCACTCGCATTTTACAATCAGCCAGTTTTACCCTGTTTTAACAAGCTTAAACTAGCTAAACTTCGTTTTAACCCTGCACTGAAAAAAATGTGTGAATTTACTTGATTCAAATGTGTAGATGAGTGAAATATATGGCATCAACACAATTACTCTCGTTCTTTTTACTTAATTTGAGATGGGTGAGAATCGTGCTGTATTTATTTTATGAATGTGGAACTGAGGTACACGATTACAAATCTTAATTTGAGCAGCTTGTTAACTTCTGAAAATGTCTGTTTAAGGCACCTGATCACAGTGGTGTAAATACAGAGCAAAGGATTCCAAGTTTTAATATGGCCAAATACATGATTCATTAAAATCCCATTCTACTGGATCAGGACATTCCCATTTAAAATATAAACATAATTAAACATTACAACAGTACTCACAGTGTATATTATGCTAATCACACTGCGCTCTCCTGATTTGATGGCATTCTCATCTCAGAAAATAAGCAAAATGCATAAACCAAAAAAGTTCACTACTTTCACACCTCACAACAGATCTGAAGATAATCTTTTCTCATTTCTTCTTTTAATGATTTGGCACTGGGAAAGATAAAAGTGACAATACACTACTTTTATTGTATTTACTTACTTATTTCTTTTTTGACTTTTTATGATTTGTCTTTATAAACCTCTGTTTAGTTAAAGGCCTAGACGAGCAGAGGGTGGGCTCACTGATTCGGCACCAGGTGGGTAATTAAACCGAGTAGCTCAGACATCTCCCTCTGGAGCTTAAGCAAGCAGGTAAACCAATCAAAGCCCATATAAAACCAGCACGACAGTTAAGAGCGCAGGGCCATAAATGGTTATGCTCCATTCTCTCCTACAGCTGGCCTTTTTTCTCTCGCTACCTGTGAAACAGAGACCTCCTAGATCCAGCAGATGAGAAAGAAGTGTTCTAATCCTAATGCCTGTCGTGGCTTTCTCATCACCCTCTGGCTGCTTCGCCTGCTCTCCACTGTTTCCCTCTCTTCTCCTCTTTGATTCCCTCCCTGGCAGGCCTAGAATTGGAGTATATGTGCCTGTGATATACTGCTCCAAAGGGAGTCAACTTCAACCCACCCCATCCCTCTCCAGCCCTCTCTCTTCTTCTCTCCTCCTTTTGACACGTTCACAATGCTCCTCATAAATCAGTGAGGGGAGAGGAGACACTAAACGACAAACCGTTCCTGTCCTCTCATTGTTCATCCTTGCTACTCTCGCAGTCTGACACACTTTTGGCTCCTCTCCCTGACCCCTCATTGCCTGAAGAAACTATAGCTCAGACTGAAGACAGAGAGATTGGGTTCTGTGCCCAAGTCTGATACAGTCATCCAAATACTCAGTTGCCTATGTGGCATTCTGATGTTGACAGAGGATTTGGAGACACTTCAAGCCCACCATCCAAATGTTAGATCTTATTGATGCCACAAAGTTAAGCCTTTTATAGCCATCTACAAATTTTATGATAATTGCATGCCTAACTGTCTGCATAAAAAAAATTGTCTGCATGTTTCAAAGGTCGAGATGTAAAAAAAGTAATTGAGAGAGCTTTTATGTATTTATGAAATGGTTCACTGTAGAGAAAATCAGATGTGTTTAAGGTAAACTGTTTTATGTACTCTACAAAACCACTAGTAAACCTACATATGTCTTCTGAGTTTTTATAGATAATGTTGATAATGGTAAAATTGTTGTAAATCTGAAAAATACATTATTCTGGGAACTACTTTGCCTTGCAATGCCCTGCAAGTTCCTCTCTGCCATAAATGGATTTTAAAAGTATGTATTTAGGCCCAAACCTTCTCAATACTATCCTAAAACAATGTCTCAGGCATCAGCCAGCGTATTCATGACCATTTCATGTAATAACTTTCTGTGAGGTAGCTTTCAGAGGCATTCAAATCTTCAGACATTTGGTTCCTATCACCACCACATTTAATTGTGCAGACATTTTAAAAAATTGGTGGAATTTCCCTTTAATCACATTTTTCTTCCATTTTCTTTGAACACGGCATTAGGGAGGGTTTTTGAGCTAGCTAAGCATTCATTCAATAGGTGGTGGCTGTAGGGGGTGGTGGGAGGTGAAACATGGTATTACTGGATAATATTATTTTTTCCACTGATTAGAGGTGGGAATATTTAGGCACCTCAGGATTCTATTCGATTTCATTCAGGATGCTAAGATGTGATTCTTAGTGACTCTCGATGTGTCTCAGTTTTTTATATTTAAAGCCTACATTATGATTTGTTTACCTACATTTGTCTTTAATGAGTACTGCTAGCTCATCTAAATTTGGAAGAATCCCAAACTTGTTAAGTGTATAGGCCTTTTTGACCGTCTTCACCGGTTTAGATATTAACGTATACAGCAGGCATGTCCAAACTTTTTTCAAAGAGGGCCAGATCATACCACATCAAGATACTTGAAGACCACAATACTAATCACAAATGATTAAAAATATTAAGTTTTCAAACTATCAGCTCATATAGTCTGAGCTTTCTGTGAGCTACTGTGTTTCCTATCACTGTATAAAAGATCATTTGCTCAGAGCAATTTGGATCGGTAGGCACTTATAATAAATAAATTGTTTGGAAGTAACAATAACACATCTAATGTATTAATTATATTCATACTCAAGTGTTTACTTGATCAAAATATAATTTGTAAGACAAACTAAACAAAAATCTATCCATTTTTATTTTTGTTAGATGATGTCTTTACAGATCAAATAAACGCCACAAGCTTATTCAGAAAACACTTTATTAAATGAGAAGAGCAGGTTAAATAGCACAAATAGCCAAGTTTAACCTTAAAGGGTTAATATTTACTGAATTACTGAATTTGCTCTGATAAGAACTTGGTGCTGTGAGGTCCTGCCTTCTCCTGAATAGTATTTGTAATGTCTGTGCTTTGTATCACATCTATTGATATTAAATTTATTCCAGTCTTTTGACATATGAGGCACAAACATTTGCTGTGGCTCTTGATGAAAGAGTATTCAAATTTGTATCTCGCAAAAATCGCCAGCTCTCAGTGTTAAGTTGCTATATGGTTGTTTTGTGCTTTATGCCTGTAGTCTTGATTAAATGTCATTCGGTAAATCAAGTTGCAGGTCTAGTCAGAGAAGAAAGGCTCTAAAGTTTTAGCTAACCTCTTTACCACAATGTGGGGCATTAACACTGAAAGTTTGCGGTACTGCTGCCACCATCAGGTGAGAGGAAAATCTTGGTATTGGCTGGCAGGCCATTTATAACGCACTTTAAAACAGAAGCCATGGACCACATTTGGCAATGGGACTGGACTTTGGACACCACTGGTACACATTATAGTTGATAGTATTTATTTTTCATACAGCACTGCTCGTTAACACACTAATACAGATCTCCAGACTAAGCATATTCAAAGTGAAGCATGTGATATTTCAGTCATTTCATTAGCTTTGTAATTTTTTGTCATTTAATTGTAAACTTGTGAGTATATAGTAGTGTTGAATGTAGCAATGGCTAATTTTCGTTAGCATTTCAGTGCTCCAGGCTGACTTACTCAGACTGCCTTTAATACTAGCTTTAGCAGTTATAGCCCAAATGTCAACATTGGAAGCTGATGTTGTAACTGATGTTCAGGTGATGCACTTTTTACTTTGTACATGGCAGTTTTTAGATGTTCACATTAGAGATATCTATTTTTTTCCTTCTCCAAGCCAGACTGTGCCAAAGTATCTTATTTTATAATGTGTCCAGGTGTGCATGAGTTTTATACACAAGGAAACAAAGAGCCTATATAAAAGTCCAATTATGACATTTTGTAAAATCAATTCAGAACCTTTCAAGAGAGAATCATGATGCATTTAAGAATCTTTTTTTTTCCACCCCACTGTTGATGCACAGTGATGATATCAAAACTCTGATGTCTGAGATGCAGGTAAAGATCTCTACACTTTATACATACTATCCAACCACTATAAATTATTCAGTAACTACTATAAAACTAGTATGTACGTTACAAAGTTATAACAGTGCGGAATTTAAATACAGGACCTTAGGGTTACGGGGCTTAACTTGCCTGCTTTAGTTACTGCATTTTGTTCACACTTACCAAGATACTGGCCCTTCCCCTCTCTGAAGGGGGGCCCAACTGGCCCCTTCATCATTGGCTGCATGTACTTCATCTGGGGCATAGGAGCATAGCCTCCACCCAGAGCATGGCCCCCCAGCATCAGTAGCACACACACAGGCACCAGCAGCATGGTCATCTACTTTGCAGGCTCAAAGTCTCCAAGCTGAGGAGAGAAAGACAGAATGGATAAAAGAGATAAAGATCAACGCTTGCCGTTTTAGGATAAGATTTTGTAACGTGTTGCATTCACTCCTTTCATGGAGAAATTCTCACACAAGATAGTCTACTGGTAAGATCTAATTAACGCATTAGCGTCAGTGAGAGAGAGGTGTGCCAAAGGCTTCTGGAAGCTGAAGCAAGCAAGTCACTACAGATTAATGCTATCTGGTGTTTTTCTCTGACAACATACCATACTTCTTCTTCAGTTATGAATGAAGCCTTATTACTTCCAGAGATTTTAAGTGATAATTAATTTAAACTTCATCTGCTCTATTTGTGTTGGCTTCGCTGACAAGCCTGGTCGGTTTTCAAAGTGCCACGCCAGCCGGTATTAGAGCCAGTGATACTGTGTAACGCTGCCATGCATAAACAGTTTATGTTATAAAGACTTGATTGGTGTCAGCAGATGGAGCTCTACTGTACTAGCAGGACCTGCATGGTTGGCTACTAGTCTGGTCAGTAAATAGGTGGAATTGAACCCACCAAGGCTCAAGTCTGCCAGAAGAAGCATGCATGCCAAAGCATGGGCTAGGTTCAGGGTTCTTGCTTCTGCCTGTTTGTTTAACCTGTCGTTCCCTGTGACAGCTGCGCTTGTTTGCTTTAATTTGCTCCAGGAAGGAATGATAATTTCATCCTCATGTTACTCATCGCACCAGATATTTACACAGATCTGATCAGGTGAGTGGGAGAGGCCGCTGGGTGGGAGCAGAGCAGTTGTGATGGCGCTATAAATCACTGGGCCCTTAACAGTGCAGATATTAGATTGCTTTGGTCTGGGCTGTTTCTGCGGTACCTTTCTTGTTCTCATTCTCTCTGTGGAGGCCCTGACCCAAACTCTACATTTGCGTTATCCTAAGACCTGTACACTCAGTGAAGCGTTACCAATCTCCTTGGACTCCTCTTTTCCGCTTGCCCTGATGGCTTCCAGACTGCTTCCCTCCAGGACAAGCAGACCTCGGCTTTGATTGAATATGACGAGTGCCTTGGAGATCAAATACTCTCCCTGCTCTCCACCTCAAAGCACAATATGACCCAAAGAGCTCCACCTGAGGAAGGCCTGCTGGACAGAACCAAGGCTCTGCTGAGGGAAGCAGCTTGGAAAGTGTATCTAAAAGCACAAGGACATCCTATCCACAGTCTCCACAGTTCACAGGCTTCAGTTTGCAGTTCTCATTGTTGTTGTTGGATCTTGGGTAGCCTGGCCTAGACACATTCCTAATCTGCTTCACTTCCTCTTTCCTCCTGCAGTGACAGCTTCACACTCCCACTCATAACCACAACTCTGAAGCCAAAATGGGAAAACTCACACATTAGTGTGACAGCAAGTGCAGGTGCAAGCTTTACAGGTCAGTTAAACTTTTTCAAAAACACCACCACACAGCAGGGGCCTCTGAAGAGCCTAACCACAGGTACATTTCAACAGTGTAAAATCGGGTTATCTGGTAAGTGATAAAGGGCCTATATCCTACCTAGATCCTACATTTATCCTATGTTTTATAAAAACATACCCTTTTTTCTCTGAGGTCCACTTATGACATTTGCGTGTTTTTATGTACCAAAAACACTCAGAATTAATTTTCCCACCTTCTACTTCCCACTATTCTCTTAGCATTTAAACATATTCAGATTTTAAAGATGTTTTCATCAGTTAGAACATCATAAAACATATGAATCTTGATTTTTCTAAATATCACTTTTATTAAATAAGATACAATTATTAGATCATTTTGAGTATAAAGTACAGACCAGGACACCAGAGACAATTGTTGCATTCCTCTTTGAGAGCGTCAAAACTCAAAGAAAATTGAGTTTATAAAAATGGTTAATCTTACAAGTGAAGTCTGCTTGGAGGTTTCTAACATCTAATTTACATAGAAAAGGCCTGTCTACATATGTGGACACCATGCATGAAAGGGTACATTTTATGAACAACTTTCAGTGCTGAAATGTAGACTTCTGTTCAGTAGTTTCTGCTTTCTGTATGATATAATCACTTCTCTATTAAACAGCTCTACAGGCATGATTCAAGATTTCAATGGATACAGAAAACAGGCTAAGTGTTTTTGGAGGGAAAGTGCACATTGCAATGTGAGCATGCAAGCCAAATCATTACAGCTGAAAAAAATCCTTTGTTTGATGCATTTCTGTGTTGAATCAGTGGGAAACAAAGAGAAGTACAGGTAACCAGACAGGCTGAGGGAAAACATGGCAAAGAGTAAATCCATGTAGAACTACACCTCCCTGGCTGGTTGCCTCCCCACAAAGGAGCTGGTCCAACTGCAGACCCCCACAGCATGGTCTGGACAGGGAGACGAGAGAAAAGCCAGACGGAAGAAGGCTCAGCCCTGCCATGTTTTCCCACTCAGCGGGACTCCAAACAGGGCACTCTGTGCCTGTTTGCTTTCCCTGATTCACTGTGGTTCGCCAGCTTTTTCCTCTTTTATCATTTTCATTTTTTATTATTATTATTCCTGGAATAGGGGTGAAAGGTCTGCTTGGCTCCAAGAGGAAGCTTTTCGGCTTTGCTGTCACGCCGAGCCCTCTTAGCCATGTGTGACTTTTTCTGCCAGGATGAGCGCATATTTCTGTGGTTTTTGCCGTCCTTTTTTGACTGCCATGTAAAGATGTGAGGCTCAAAAACTATGAACAAGCCTTTGTAATTACTCATGTCTGTAGTAGCATCTGTGTTAGCGCTTGCTAAAAAACACACGCTTCCTCTAAGTTCTCATATGTAGCTGTTTCCCACTCCAGGAAAAACACAATCGCAATACAGACGGGGAGGAAAAGCATGGAGGCCAGAGAGAGAGAGAGAGAGAGAGTGAGAGAGGTGGTGGTGGTGGCAGCTCAGCGTTTGGTTGTTGAATGCTTGGTTGCAGTTGGCTGGGGGGTAAACTGTTCCTGGGGGCTGAGGTTTTGTGGCAAGGGTAATTTAGATGTCTTTAATAGTGTACCCTACATCGAGCAGGCGTCTTAACACTCCCAGCAATCAAAATCAGACATTACTTCTGTTCCACAGGCCAGCACAATCTGTTTATCAAATGTTTTTCTTGAAAAGAGCTGCAGACACAGTTAAATAGTCTCACGCAATCCGTCTGGCCAAGTGTTCACCCGTGCATGCGCACGCACTCGCGCACCCACTGTTTACAGAGTACAGCTGAGGGCTAAACCATACATATGCACACAATAATGGAGGGCTGCCAAACGACTGGCCTATAACGCGGGGAAAAAAAGAGCTTCTAAGGAACCAGAGCCATTCACAACAATTAAAGGTAAGGCCATCCGAACAAGTCCAAAATGGACCAATCTGGCGAACAGCAGTGAGTTTATTTAAAACAGATTTATACACACAAAAAAATGCTTGCATACAAGAATTTACGGTAACAGCTACCAAAATTTAAAACAGAACAGAAAATTGTCTTTAGCAAAAAGAGGGAAATAAGGAAGCATGCTCCTAGTCCTTGAGACACCGCAAACTTCATGCTTTTCTTACACTGAGTAAGCTTTAAAAACAAGTGTATGCTGAGAAAAGGGACTTTGAATTATACGTTCCTAATTCCCCTCTCACCAGATCTGTGAAATGCAATAATACCATGAAATGTTCTCACACAGGCCCTCTTCTGAAAACATATACAGTTCCTTGACAGACAGGCATGGAACAGTAATTCCATAATGTGCTACACTTTTGCTACACCACCTTCTTTTATACTGACTGCCAGTTAGACAAAACAGGCGGCTCAAAACTGAGGCCAAGACTCACAGAGTAATCTCTGAGCCTAACATGGCAGTTCAGGTGGCAAGCAGAACACCAAAAAACCCCAAGAGCCACAAGTAAACACTCCTTCGAAAAGAGCAGGCCTTCTTTTCACCACCTTCATTTAGTGACAGGTGGGTCTCACCAATGTTTGTGCAGTGTGCACTACACTATTACGCTAAACCCACCAACATCCCACAAGAGCCCTGAGGGACAGTAGCCCTCTCAGGTGGAGACAGAGTAAGCACCTGGGCCACTCCACAAGAGTGGACCATGTTTATCTGACTCCTATTTTACAAACCACATAAACCCTGCTCCAGGTATTCCAGAACAAGGAGAGGTTTGTTGAGGCCGTGCTGAAAACACAAATCACGCACATGCACTCTCCAACTTTGTCTTCGCTGCTCACATAAACACATCTGATCTACCTAATGACCACAGAGCGTGAGAGGTTAAGTGAGAGCGTATGTGTGTGTTTTTGCACAACTAGGGCACGTGCCTAGTTGACAGACATGACTCTCATGAGCTGGAGGGAGGTGAGGAAATCGGGCATGAGGTTTTCATTCGGAGAATCCGTGCTTTTGCAGCATGAGGTAAGCCCCAGGGGGACCAAGTGGCACTTACTTAGCAGCCTTCGGCCCCACACCATCCTCATTCAGCCGCTTACTTTTTAGCCTACTGTTTGTGCACATACTGCTTATGACTTATCTGGAGCTCACCGTACTGCTTTGAGGGAACATGCGCAAGCAATTACGAATGCAGCGCTCCTTTTGAACGCAGTATGCATTCACTTTTCGGATGGAGTGCCACATTAACAGTGGGCCTTCACCCCAGCCTCCATGTGTGTAAACTGAAATGGAAGAACTGCTAAATTGGTTCTCAGAGACAGTGGCTTGTGAAGGAGGCCACAAAGTGGCTCTATACCACACTATGCAGTCGTTTCCTGCTGGGCCAACATTTAACGGAATCATTACAAATCAATTATCCATTTAATGCTGCAGGGAACCTGCTGAGGTGTGACATAAGCTGTTTACATTTCCAACGCCAGCTCCATCCATTGCCTTCCCTTTTCCTTCTCTCCATCACTGGAGCTTAGGGTCCTCCAGGTCCCCACTGGGGATTATGCAATGGTCCTCAGCCAAGGCCCTTGTCAAATGAAGTGACAGGCATGCTAATTTAATCACTTCTCCTTT